ACACATTGTTTTAGCTTCACTTCAAAATCTAGCAATGTGTCAGATAAAATAGGATGGAGCATCCTAGCTCATAAAAGAATCTGTATTCACATTGTACCTCAGGTAAATGGAGCGAGTCAGAATTATTGACCCTGAGGGACAGAACTCTTTCATCAAAGTTTTTTCATTTGTATGTTCTAAGCATTATTTTACTGAAACTATTTTTTTCAGTCATTTTGGTATTAGAAACTTCTGCTTAAAGTCATCAAATACATTCTTATGTCTTTGCAAAGTTCAGCATTCTTTCTTTTCAAGGGCACCCGAACTGAGGTGAACTGTCTTACCTAACCTAACAGTTTTCCAAAGTGGTCATTGTAATTCTAAGATATCCTTTATAAAGTTCATAAATTTTTCAAAAAAGATCCTGGTCCGTATGGATTTTGCACCAGGTATAACCCGTCTTTGATTAGGTTCTCTAAGAGATTTGAACTGTGAGCAGCCATTTTGAAATGCAGGGAATTCTGAACAGTGAAGGGTGACCAGTGGATGATCTTCAGCCCAAGGCGCTCAACAGACTTGGAGAAGTGATTCTCTTCTAATGAACAGCTCCGCTATTTTCAGAGGTTGTATGCCTCTGTTTTTCATCTTTTAGTTATCCTTGCTTTTTTAAAAGTAAGAATTATGTGTATTTAGCGTGATTTTGGAAAATATGTAGAAGTATAAAGAAGAGAATTTAAGAAAAACCCCAAATTACTTGCTTACACAGCTCCAGTCTGAACTTGAGAGTGAGTTATCCCAGTGGGCAGCAAAATAGAAGATGGAAGAGCCCTAGTGTCCTTCCCAGGTTTACCACTTGCTAGCAGTGTGGGTTTGAGCTAGTGTTTTCAGTATGGGCTTTGATTTCCTCTTATGCAAAATACAGCTAGTAATAATACCTCACAGGTAAGATGTTTGTGGGACTCTTGAAGGTGTGTGTCAGATTGCATGTGTTCAGCATCTAGTTCCCTAATCTTTCTCTTTTTTAGATACTGTTTTCTGCTTTTTATAGTCTCTGCCATTTTTGATTGAGACAGTTTCTGAACAAGAAAAATAACTTAACATGATGATTAGCTATTTAATGTCTCATTTCAGAATCTAATTTTGTTCTCTTGAAATTTTTATTTCCTTTATGAGCCATTCTCTTTTATTCTCTAGTTATAGGACCATATCTGACTTTTCTGTAAATCTCAGGGAAGTTATTTTAAGAACTATTTAGATCAGATGTTCAATTCTGTCTAGTATTTCATGATTTTACTAATGAAGATTCCAAAACCTTTGTCCCAAAGTTTCTTTGATTTCTACATTACCAAATATTGCCTCTTTCTTGATTGAGGTAGCATTTTCCCTTGTGGTTCATCAGTGGGTACAAAATGATGATTGTGGATTATAGAAAAGTGGGAGAATACAGAAAAATGCAAGAACACTTGAAATTACAAATCTTTCTACTACACTTAATATTTGACATATTTTTAAATGTATGTGTTAGTCATAGATGTAAACTTATTATTCCTTACCTTGTGTGTTAAATTTTTTACTTTTTTCTAGATCATTTTCTTGATTAGTACATGCGTGCCGTACATAAAGGTTACATTTCTTTTTTGTTACCTCTGTTCTCCACTGGATCCGTTCTGAGGGCAGGCATGCTGACAGTTAACCGGCTTTCTGTATTGTGAAGACAATTCTGCCTGAGAAGCGCAGGAGGGAGTCTGTGTGCTCCCGTTTGATTTCCTCTATAGTAAAGTGCAGATGATACCTGGAAATCTCATTGTCAC